TCGGAACCCACGACATTTTGATTAGAAACAGCGATTGGAGCTCGCCGTGGAAGGTAACCTTCTCCCTTTTGCACGCTACTACTCCGGCCAAATCCTGTAAATCCACCATCCCGATGTTGACCTCATTTTTGTATGAGGTCACTTGGACTACTCTTGACCCTAAATCAATTTAATTTCCAAATTAATTTAAATTCTAGAATCCTCCTAGAATCCTGAGGTGCGACATGTGCGACGAGGCGGGTAAGTCCTATACACGCTCATGTAGCTTGGTGGGGACGGTCCTCAACCCCAACATCGATGCCAACGACTACTACGCAAAGGTATGATGTTCCAAATCATATTCTCGGCATTTGTAGCAAATCGGAGAACCACCTATACGCGCTCTTGTAGCACGGTAGGAGGGAGCCCGTTGTGAAGCATACGGTGAGGTGGGTAAGCCCTATACACACTCTTGTAACGTGGTGGGGAAGCTACTGGTGTTCTGGTACGGGTATTGCTGAAGGCCCCATACACGCTCTTGTAACGTGGTGGGATGAAAATTTATACGGTCGCGATGTCTAAGGACACCGACCATACATGCTCAAGTAGCGTGGTGGGAAGGCCCAGCTCCCCTACATTTCCCCCAAACGGGGGATATACCGGGGTGCTGCCAAAATTTTCACTGAAATGTACAAAGACTTGAACAATTCGAAGACCTCATTGAACAACAATGCAGGAGACTAGTACTTGAACAGAAATACACATAACTTGAACTAAAATGAGCAGAGGACCTGTACGATTAACAGTGGACTTGTGGACCTGAATCTGAACAAAATTTAAATGATTTCTAAAGGTCAAACTCAAATAAAATCAAATCAAATTAGAGCTGGGTTCAAATTAATTTGAACGTGAAAATGAATCTGCAAAGACTCCAGAAAACCTTGAACCAAAAGTGAACATGAAAATGAACTTGCAAAGAACTTCAGAGGATCCTAGACAATCAATTTGAACTTGAATGAGTACTTGAATTGAACCAAAGCTTGAGCTTGAATGCACTTGATCCGGCCAAAGAACTTGAATCCGTTCTTGATTTCGTGCTATACAAGATCAAGTGGGAGTTGTAGACTCGATGAACCCGAGTCTAAATGAGACTTAACTCAGACTCAAACATATGCAAAGAACAAAACTTGAATCATACACGAGGAAATTCAAATTACAAGAGCACTCGTACGGTCAAAAGTGACACAAAGCATGTTACAAGACCTCAATGAATGAAATCCTACGACAATGCCTGCATGTGCCTGTTAATTGAAGAAGGCAGAACTATCAACTAATAGTGGAAGACTCGTCCTTGCAAACAAGTACAATCTACAAATGAGTACAATCAATGCCCACCTGAGATTGGTGATAGGTGGGCATGATTTAGGAAACAATGGGTCTTCTACAAATACCTTCAGGAGATCGTAGGGGATACGATGGTCCCCTGCAAATGGATACTTGTGGATAACAACAGTGTATTGTAAGTACAATGAATCATTGTGGACACAAGTATGGATATTATCTACAACGACGATAACTAAGATCTACAAGAGCGTTGAGTACAAAGGCAACTCTATGTACGAAAAGACACTCTCTGAAAGATAGGTAAATGTTTGAACAAATTAGAACGAAATTTCATGGTGTTCCAAAGTCTCTTCTTAGTTCTATATTTAAGAAGAAAACAGCTCTGGTACTCACAAATACCGAAAATAACAAGCCTACTACACTGAAGATCCTAAAAGGAGTTCTCCCCAAATCAGCACTCATTGACTCCAAAGTTCAGAAAGACCCTCCTCGGTGAATGAGATAGGGGGAGTCAACATCACAACGCAATGCCATCGGATCTGTAACATTCATACAAGCAGACATAAGGCGTGTATAAACTCCTAAATGAAGAGTTGTCTGCATTCAAATGACAGCTGCATGCACAACTATAACTATTTCAAAGTACCCCTACACGTGCACTATAAATTGTATGCACATAGGTACACTAAAGGGGTATACAATCGAACATCCGCATAGGCCCCGACGAGCGTCTTATTGGTACACACGTGACGTCTAGGGATGCTGCGCGGGCCGATAAGTGAATTCAAGTTCGAACCTGATCCTTCTATACGGATCAATAGAAGTCGACATGGTTCAAACCTTCAAACAAACACATGGTTGTGGGAACCGATGTATTTGTTTCAATACATTCATATTGGGCCTTCAAGGCCTACAATCAAAAGAATTCATTAAACAAAGATAGGAAGCCTACGAAATCCGATCCTCCTAAGCAGATTAAATAGGAGTAGACAAGGTTAAAACTCTTGGATAAATATGCGGTCATGAAGTGGACCGAAATATTTATTTTATACATTCATATTCATCCTTCAAGGCCTTCAACAAATAAAAATTCATGAATAAATGCATAAAGTCTATGAAAAACCCGATCCTCGACCAATAGCTTGGTCGAGTTGACAGGGTTCAATCAACAAATGGAAATGACCTCAAACACCCCGATGATGACCGCGTTGATTGAATATCTCAACCGGATGGGTTAATTTCAAGCATTTTCAAATGCCTCCCAAAATTTCAAAATCCCAAATTCCAAAATATTTAAATTTGAAATCAACCATCAATCACTTAAAGAAAAATTCATCCTCCCCCCCCCCGCAACAGTTTGCCTAGGTGAACAAATTAAAAACTACTTCAGCTCACAAAAAGCCAAATGCCTAGTCGAAAATATCACTATGATCCATTCTCAAACAATCTCCTGCCAATAAGGACGTGATATGCATCCTCTAACTGGCTGTTTGCCGTCAAATGGCACCGCAGGATAAATGGTTATGACTCGGGGCCCTCTGAACTGAGTGATTTTGCCGCCAAATGGCACCACAAAATACCGGTTATGGCCAGAGCCAATACGCTCCTTAGTGGCATCAAATCCTTGAGATATGAATCAATAGGGTATGGTCGATAAGGCATAAAGCCCTCTATTAGCTAAGGTGGATTCAAATTTGTCCCCTTAGGCAAATATTCAACCCCGGTCTACAAGGTACCCTTGGACGAAGCAACCCATGGCTGCCGACAAGGATCCTTCTGTCAGGTTGGGTCGACTACCTCCTCTGACTAAGTAGACCAGGGACCACGATGGCCTGGGACGACGGAACCATGGGATCTTGATCGGGTCTATCATCCGTTCCCCCACCATCCGCTTTAAGTGTGAGATGGTGAAATTTCTCATTTTAAATATCAAACCTTTCCAAATTCAAACCCTTCAAATTCCAAATATCCAGACCTATGCTACTACTATATGCCAGATAACACGTATCTCTACGTATCTGATTGACGACTAGCCTTAATCGAAAGTTCTCTCTCATGATCGGGAGGGGTAATTAACTATAGGGGCTTGCGCCTATAGGAAACCAGAACTCAGATCATAAAGTCCTCACAAAATAAGGGCGAAATCTCTGGGTAGTGTCTTATCTACAAACCCATCTGCCTTCCAAAATTTACCCCGGAACTTACTCCGTTAAAACTCCCTCGCCGAATACAAAAGAAACGCTCGGCGGGGAGGCCGGGGCTGAATTTTTGGAGCCCTCAATCTTGAAAATATAGTAGAAAATATTTTCTTTTGGTAACTCATATTACAACTTAATATATTTGATAAGAGAGGAACAATCATATCTTCAGAGGAACGACCCTTAATGATCATATAATTATTGAGAAAATCAAATTTGCAATCGTGATGAAAAGTAAGAGATCGTGCCTCTTTTTACTTTGCCTACTTGCCTTAAAGATCTATATTACTAAAACATGTTCCCTACTCATTGGTATTTTATGATATTGATTTCTGATACATTCTACCTTTTATTGTATTGTAAAATACTCTATTCTAAACATTTTGTGTATAAGAGTTAAAAATTTTAACAGTTGGTTTTACTTTTATTAATTTTAGAATTTTTTTTTAAGCGGTGGAAGTTGGAAAAATCTAAGTAGTATGCATATGAAACACCTTTTGTATTATGGTATACCAACTTTCATCATTATGTTAGCATCTTGTGCATATTAAAGATCATCTCACAGATGTTTGTAAGTGACAAACTTGTGAAGTGAACAATAAAACTTTATTTGACAGGCCTAGCTTTCTATTCTATTTTGCTCTGTTCTACTCTATTTCTGATTTTGACCCATCTACTTTATGCTTGTGCTGGAGGATTAAGTGAGATATAAGTCGAAGTGGAGTAATAACATGAGAGTCATCTTTACCTAGTGAAGGTAGACTATGGGAGGAACAAATGAAAGTGGAGTATTATAAACAGATATCGGGACATGCATGTCTTTCTGCATATGATTTCATATTACACTCATAAAATGAAATTTATTTTAAAATAGCAAGTGTAACATGTTATTTTTGTACAAATGATAATATGAAATATCTATGCAATGGGTGAATGAAAGTAAAACTCTATCTTGTTCTAGAAATCTATGAAACTACACAAAAAATGCATAAATGTGAAAATAAGTTCGTATATTTCAAGGAAATTAATATTGTGACTTTATATTGTTTAAACTTATTAATTAAACCCTTGTTATACTTTTTTCTATCTTTTGGATAAGGCCATAAGGGTAAAGATGAAAATCTTTGAATAAACAATTATATTATTTATCATTATAATATATATTTACTATTATTGAAAATATTTTTATTGTATCATTTTTATAGTGCTCATTAGTCTGTTTGTTTTTTTTTTTAGGTTAGGCTAATTAAAGCAGACTCACACACAAATCGCATATACAAGATTCAAATCTAAAACCTCTTAGTTGGTAGCCTAAGTTCCCAACCAACATGCCAATATGAACATTATAGTGCTCATTTGTTGTCTTTATATAAACAGAATTGTACTAACACAATAATAAATAAAATAAAATGAAAATATTTATTTATTTCAAAGGTGTTAATATAAAAAATGCATAAAGTATCCATCCAATTTCTGGTAAAAGTTTATTGAAACCCCAAGTCAATCAAATTTGAAAGAAACTTAGAACAAACATTTCCCTGGTCAACTCTTTCAGTTGAAGACTCAATAACAACATGGACGCAGCAGTAAAAAGAACATGAAATGCAGGAACGCAGAAATCAGCAATAGAACATCACTTCCTCAACATTATCCTCGCGAGCAGGAAGAGGGCCCTGACAGCACTGCAGAACTCAACAGTAGAACATCACATTCTTAACATTCTCCTTGATAGCAGGAAGAGGCGTGACAGCACGATCTCTATCTTCACTAGTGTTGGGTGCCTCATTTGCAGCTGCAGCTCTTGGCTGTGAAGCATTTTCAGATGTCATGGGATTCAAATAAAACCTTGCCCTGGAAGCAGCAAGATGAGCGTAGTATGCAGGCGGCACTGTCAAAACATTGAGTCAGTTAACAGAATAAACTTACATCCCTCATAAATCGAGTTAACAGATTTCTCATAATTGAATGAAAAAGGAAATAAATATTACCAATTGATACTGATCTTGTGCACCTTGCATATCTGCAAGGAGAAAAGATAGATATGTAGCAAATTAACTATAATAGCATCAAGAAGGAATAACCAAAAAAGGGGGAAATAAGAAGCGTATCCTATTACGTGTAGCATAAGTTATATGTAAGTGTTTGCAGGTCATTAGGAGAGAAATTGTTTTCATCCACTAAAACATGATAATGTGTTGGCCGGCTAGTCCCCTGAAAGCACATTGCATTGCCAGTTATAACACAAAGTAATAAAGTTTAAATATAAGAGCAAAAGAGGAGCTGCATACCTTGATTCCAGCATGACTACATAGGTAGAAATCAAACTCAAATGGATGACAGATATCTGAATCAACCACAGTCCCTGCGATCATTCAAATCAAGAAAAAAAGAACAATGAAAAACACTTATAATGGAGGAATATTTGAAAAGGCAAGCATTAAATACACAGAAAATAACAAAGCAAAAAACATATCACGTATTTATTGTAAATCTTTACAAACCTGGAAGGATGTTTCCTTTCCCATCTACTGACTCAATGCCTAAATGGTTGTTTGCAAACAGCCTGGTATGATGCCTTTTCTGAACAATCACAAAGGTAATCTTTGGTCGATAATCAAGATGGAACGAGGCACAAGCCTGTGGTGCAGTGCATAAATCACATATTGGTAAAACACAACACAAATGAAAAAAAAAAAAAAAAAACAATCATGGCATTAATAACACAAAGATAAAGCATTAAAAAAATAATGTGCATGCACGTACGTTACGAATTGCAATATATTCATGCTCCAAAACTTGAAGGAACTGTCCCTCGCTAACACCATCCCTGCATCCAAAAAAGCACAAGAAATAAGGCAACATAAAACACAATTAAATATAACAGAACTCTAAAGCAAAATCAGACCTGTAAAATATTATCCGCTCAGGCTTTTTCTTTGTAGCTGTATAAAATGATTGAATTAACTCCCTGGAAAAAAAACGTCAATATGATATTTTTCACAAAAATGTCAGATGTAAGAGAAAACTTAATAGAGAACGCACTTGATCATGCCACCAGAACCAATCTGTAAGTTCTCAATCAGCTCCTTACGATGGGCCTGAGCAGAAACCCGTGCAGCATATTTGGTTATATTTGGCCAGTTCTGAGAAGCAACAACCTGCCATATGTCGAATAATATATAATAACTGGCAATTCAGAACGAAAGGGCCACAAATAACGTTTAAAAAAAAAAAGATCCACAATAAGTGGATCAAACTTACAGCAGCAATTGAAGGGCTTGAGACATCCCCAGGCTGAGGATGAGTCACATCTGCACCAAATATAATTGTGGCCTCATCTCCGACCACAGGCAAGAATTTTGGCAAATTATCACCAAGCTCAGTGTTCGTTCCTCCAACCTATAAATCGCAATTAACTTGTCACAAATTATAGGTAAATATGGCAAAGCACACAAGCTACAGAAAATCAAAATACCAACCTTCACATTAATTTTCAAAGCAACATTGGCAAGGTAAGCTCGGCTTCTCTTAAAAACATATTTGACTAAACAACATTGTGAAACTAACCCAATTTGAGTCTCGCATATACGCTTTAGATTCCCTATTACAAGGCAAAAAGTGCAATTTAAAAATCTCATTCATATACCAAAAAAAAAAAAAAAATTCATCATCATAAAGAGCATTATCATACGTACCTATTTATGGTTTTATTTTATGCACCTCTCTTAACATGACCTAATAGCTTTGCAACTATTTGATGTACTTAATTTCTTTTCTAATCCCTTGATATTAATTCTATCAACCAACCTTATAGGCACATTTTGCATTTTACATGCATGAACTACGTACCATGTTCATATTTCCACAACATAATTTCAGTAAGTAGTCATTATTATCAATCTCTTATAATCATTCCCCAAACAATCTTTGCTGGTTTTGGCATGCATTAATCTAAGCATTTTCATTTCGAAGATACCCAAATTAGTTCAGCCTTCTTAGTGTTTACCAACACAAAGAACTCATAGAGAAAAATCAATAACGTAATAATGAAAAGATCTAGCAAATAATAAACAAATCGACATACACATAGAAGGTTCTTCTAAAATGAGAGCAAAATATTTGTTTACCATAAAGAGAACCATTATTTTCAGGCAATATTGCAATAAGTAAATCAAGCTTTGCGTCACTATAAAGTGCATTCAATGCTTCTTCAACTTGATTAGGTTTTGCATATTTCAGTTGAATTACAGGCTTCGTATCAAATTCCTGCATAGAAGTTTAAATTATGAAACACCTTTTCAGTAATAACAAGAAATTAAGTAAAAAGAACTATTGTTAAAATTATAAAACTCCTTTCCAATAGTCATAACAAGGCTACAACTAAGTTTACAGATTCCTAGAAATGAGAATACATACCATTCCAGAATTGCGACACGCAGAAGCTAGCTCATAACAAAACTCGTGAATACCATATTCCTCTGCATCTTGAGCAAAACTGATGCAAGCCCAGTTTTTGACCCTCCCACCAATTACCATTTGCTACAATGAAAAAATAAATATAAAGCCTTTTAACAGCAACGTAGAACATGTTATTTCGATAAATTATGCTTTGAAAAAAAAAATAACATATAAGATAACCTACACTACGCTATTGACATGTATGCCGTTAGCATAAAAAAAAATTAATTTTAACAAAAAACGATTAGTTTGAGGATTCCACAAGCATTACATTCGCATACGTGTTGCAATTGATCAATCAGGAATAACTTAAAATGAAACAAACACTGCATTAATAGAAATCCTCCACATGGAAATTTATTGTGTTAATTCTCACAAAATACAAAGCAATCAAATTCCCGAAAGATATCCATCACCCAATATTGGACTCTAACTACCCATTAGATGAAATCGAAAGTTCAAATAATCAGAGAAAAATCTACTGGAATGAACCTAAATTTTAGCCAATACATGCACCGAATAATTATCATTTAAAACTGCAAACGTCCAAGTACAAATATCAGCCTAGTAAAAGCCAAATTTAATCAGAAAATTTAAGTTTAACAAACATATTTTAGTAGATTTTAAAGATCTCATAGACATGTAGCTCAATGGAAAGGCTTGTATCCAGGCAATAATTCATGCAATATGTAAAAATATTAATGTAGCCGACCCCATATAGTGGAATAACAGGTTTGATGTTGTTGTTGCTATTGTTGTACAAATGGGATGCATTATTGCTTTTCCATCATAGTAACTACTTAAAATAAATGTATAAGCAAGCAACAGAATACTAATAGATAAGATGAATTTTGTCATTGGCTCTACAAAACAAATACCTGCTGCTTCCATTCACCCATTCCTGGCTCGAAATTCGGCCTCCTACCGTCTTTAAGCTGCACAATTGGAAGAATGAAACCTCATAGACTAATTAAATGATATCAACAAAATCAGCAATATAATAAATATTACAACTTAAAAGCAACTTGAAACTTTGTGAATAACCATCTAGAGTAGTGTTTATTCAGAACGTTTTATCTAAATCATTTATAGTTTTTTCAATTAACAGAAAAATTTGAAAAAAAAAAAAATCAACTATAGCTTCATTATTTTGGGAAACTTTTGTAGAAATAAATGTAATAATTTCAGCTATGGCTTTAGCTAGTTCAGCTATTTACTAAGTTGCCAGTAACTATTTTCTATTGTTTTTTTGTTTTCAATTTCAATCAATCTTTTACCAAAACATACTAATAAATAAACAAAAGAAAAGTGTGATATCTTCAAAATAATATCAACATCAAAGATATACGATAATTTATGATTTTATCATGCAATTTCAAGTTTGATTCCCTTGTCTTCTAATAATTTAAGAAGATGAATTATTCCAAAACATATGTATAAACCAAATATCTATATAAGCTTGTATATAATTGTAAAAGTCTATCATAAATCTTTTTATTTTTTTTATTTTTGGGACATTTATGTCAATTAAGTCAAATTCACACGCACATCGCATACACAAGACTCAAATCCAATACCTTTTGATTAGTAGTTAAAGCTCTCAATCAATAGACCAAAATTAGTTATATTCTATCATAAATGTCACTGCATGCAATTAGACAACCTACTTTAGTTCTCACTAGTTTTATATGGAAAAATCAATTTATTTTACATACCATAGGTGGAGGCAGAACGTGTGCTTTAACTGTTGTAAGTGTCTCAGTGATTTGAATTCCAAACTCAGTGGCATATGGATCCAAATTGTATTCATTACGACGAACCGTCTAGACAAGCAAAATTTGATACTTATAAGATAAAATCTGTCTTATAAAACTAACAAGGATGAATAAAGAAAGGAAATACCCATATCAGAAAGACTTTCTACCCTGGAAAAAAATAATTAAAGAGTACTTTACAAGAAGAGTTTAATAGGAAAAAGTCATTTTACCTCCATAATAGCTCTCTGACGAGCTTCTGGGCACTGGGACGTTGCATTTGAAAATGTCTTTAATTGTTCTAGATTCAACTTCTTAGAATATCTTTGTCCTTCAACAATCCGGCAAACCTGATGACAAACAATATTAGCTAGTCAACACCAGCCTTTAGCCCAAAAAAAAAAAAAAAAATCTAATGTAAACTTCATCATAAACTAAGCACAAACTCCTCAAAACTGGCCGCATTAAGAAACATTATAGCATCAAGACACAATTAAATAGGTGTTCACAAAGGCATAAATAAATGAGCATACCTCCATGGGAAGATAAATTGGCCTCTGTTGATTGCCAACTTGAAGACAGGGCCAACCAAGAAGTTGGATAGGAATATTATAAGCGTCTAGAAAATATTGTACCACTGTCTTCATCGTGCCTTCCATAGAAAAACTATCACCAACCACAATACAATATTCATATGCACATAATAAATAACAACATAACAACAACAATACATCGAAAATTAGGAATACAATTCTACAGATAATGAGGCAGATACATACGACAGGTCTCTTGTTGCCTTTTCCGTTAAAGCAAGTATACGATATTTTCTGCGGTCGTTGCCACGATGTGTAACCTCCACTTTCACACCTTTTAAAGATTTATTCACCTGCAAAAGCAACCAAACAAACATGAATTTAATTGAAGCTATAGTGTACAATGATTATGAATTTGCACTTTCTTTAAGGAAGAATTCCTGAGCCTTCCAAAAAAGAGAACGAAGAGAAAAGAGTAAATTAAAGATGGCTCCTAAAGATAGAAGGAAAAAACTGATACCTACCACTGTGTCAAATTCGAACAATATAAAATATAGAAGGGAAACTAACCGTAGCAATTTCTCTATCAGTTAGCTTTGTACGTTGAACATTCCTTCCAAGAAGCCTTCTTACAAATTCAACAACAGGCACTGCCTCAAAGAATGCTTTTGATGTAATATCTGCGTAAGAAAGGTACATATCAAATCAAACATTGACAAATACTAGAGCAAATTATGTAAATACAAAGATGAATATGCTCAAGTGACATGCAGAGCATTTGATAAGCGATACCGAACATTCTAACAGAACATTCTATATTACACAAGATGAATTAGATTTCATTTTTTATTATTACAGCTTTTAACTGAGACAAAATTCGTACTTGCATGAATTCAATAAAAGGCCTCCACTTTATATAAATTTTGAGAATATTTAATTCATTTTCAATTCATTTTAGTTTGTGAAGTAGGTTCTTGGTGTTTGCTATTGTTCTTAATTATAATAGGAGAGTTCAGTGCTTGCAAGCAAGTTTTTCAAAGTTCCCTGTAAATTCGTTATTTTAAAAAAATTTATTTAATTGTATTTTATTTAAATAAATATTATTTTAAGTTCAGTTCCATATAAGTATGATTAGTTTGAATTTTAGCAGCCTCTCAATATCCCACCCTTCAAGAGCCTTCCACAGTGAGGGTTAATTCTTCCTACTATGCTTACAAAAATGTGCATGATCTATGTTATGACACATTGCGACAAGCACGTTTTCTATCCCACTGGATCTCAAAAAGTGTGCACGAGACTTCATAATCTGCATGAGCAAAAAACACGACTTTCTATCATAATGGAACAACACGAACAAGTACTTCTTTGGACAATCTCCGCGCCGAATTTGAACAACACCCACGTGTACTTGGGTTTATAAGTTTCCCCATAACGCAAACGGGTAATTAATTTTGGGGTTTCGAAAATATACCTTGCGAATGAGTTAGTCAACGATGCGACGAAGAGGGAATTTTGTGAGGGGAGAAAATAAAAGTTTTACTTTTTTAATATTTCTGTTTAGAGAGAATGGGGGGAGGAAAGAGAGGAAGAAGGGGGGAGAGAGGGTGAGAGTGATATAGAGTGGTAAGGGAAATAGAGAAGAGAATAGTGAGAGAAGGAAAGACAGTGTGAGAAGTTGTAGAGATCCAGGTTGATATCCTTCTCTATTTAGAGAGAGGAAGGTTGAGCTTGGCCATGGAGTTCGACTAATGGGTAGGGGAAAGGGAAGGAAGATGGTGGCCGATCATTTGGATAGAGGCCAAGCAGGTGACATTTTGGTGGTTTAACGATGGTGGTTTGGGGAGGAGATGATGGAAGGAGGAGAAAGAGAGAGGTTGCTTCAAGAGGTGTAATGGTTGTGTGGTGGCGGCATCAACGCTAGCCCGCACGAAAGCTGCAATAGTGTGTAGCAGTAGGCTGGTGAGGAAAATGGAGTAGAGAAGCTCGATTGTGGTTTTTGGCTAGCACTAACTAGCTGAGAGAGGACAAAGGAACTTTTATTACGTTCGGTGCAAGGACGTAGAGGAACGTCCGGTCGGAGGTAATTTCTCGTCCAAAAACTAGGTATTTGCTTGGTACAACTAGGTATTATTTGATAATAATGAAGAATACCGTTCTATGAAGACCAATACCGAGTTATACCGAGCTGTACTGAGAAATACCGAGTTGTACCGAGTTTTTCTGGAAAAAACTCGGTACAACTTTGGTATAACTCGGTATTTGCTCGGTAAAGCCCGGTATAACTCGGTATTGAGTCTTCAAATGATGGTATTCTTCGTTATTGTTTGGTATTGCTCGGTATTTGCCCGGTACAACTCGTTTTTTTGCGGGAATTTGCCTCCGACCGGACGTTCCTCTACGTCCGGTCGAAGGACGTAATAATTGTTCAAGACAAAGGGGGTTGCGGTGGCAAGAGATATTTTATATAACTTGATATTTCAATAACGAATCAAATATTAGGGTAGAATTATATAATAGTATTAATTATTTTGTAATTGTAAAATTAAATTTAATATTATATAATTATAAATTTTGTACCATATAATTATAGTTAATTATTAATTAAATTAATTATTATATATTTAAAAATTTATTATTATTAATTTTTATAAAATAAAATTTATTATTTTATATTTATAAATTACTTATTAGAAATTATATAATACGATTAATTAAATCTTAAGGAAAATCTCCTCTATAGTAATAAATAATTTCTTATAATTTTAAAAACAATTTATGCTTATAAATTATATACAAATTTTACATTATAAAATTACATCTATAAATTTATGCTATATCATTTACAATTTAAATATAAATAAATATTATTTTTTATATTATAAAATTAAATAAATAATAAATTAAATTGATTAAAAACCTAAATATTATCAACTAAAAATTAAATAGTATTCACATTATAAACACTAATTAAAAAAATATGTGCAAAATATACAATCTATATATATAATGAAGATGAGAACTTCATCTTAATTTTTTTTGTCCCACATCATTGAGGCACTATGTATTTGAATTCTCTCTCTCTATATATATATTTCTTAATTCAAATGACTAAATAAGTCACATGGAGTGATAAAATCATGTGAAAAATTCAAAATATATTATTAAATTTGATATACATTTTAAAATAAAAAAACATAAATTTAAATTAATTTATTAAGTTTTTATATTAATTTCATTAATTTAATTATATACTAGCTCATTTTAAAATTATATTTATTTCCATTTTTGAACACCAATTCACCTATTATGATTGTTTCATTTTTAAAAACAGCTCACCTTAATCTGTTGGTTTAGAGCTTAGGCTTCCAACTAAGAGATCTTAAATTCAAGTCTTTGTATATGCATTGTGTGTGTGTGAGCGTGTGTGAGAGTTTGTCTTAAATGGCCTAAATGTCCTTTAAAAAAAAAAAAAAACCTATTTTAAGAATGAATCGGATTGAAAAATGGCATTTTTACCGATATTCAGTGATAAGCCCTTCTCTGTAGGTCTCATGCTTTGATAAAATCCTTTATAACTTTCGAAACCACCACCAAGACTCGTCCTCGGAAGAAAAAGGGGGGAGTAGAAGGATCTTCCAGAAGGGTAGTACCGAATGCTTTTACAGAACAAATAATATTTTGAAACGTTAGATATAATATAGTGTTGTGAAAGAAATAATTTCATCTTGAGCGCAAAATAATTACTTTTCATTGGGCAGCTGACGCATCACAATATCCAGAATTTGCAGTTGTGGAGCATCTCTTTGCTTCCTAGTCAAGAACCTTTCCAGCTGATAAAGATCGGTTTTAACAGCAAATGTAATGACAACTTTGAAAATCCTCTCCCGCCTATATTAATGGCATATTGAGCATATCAGCAGATCAAAATGGAAAACTAAAATCAACAGAACTGGGCTAGCAACTTGTGAAGAAATAAACCTTGCAGCAGCTCCAGCACCATCATCTTCATCAACTAAAGTAATTATAAATTCTTCAGATTTAAATGGTAGTTCGCCAGCAGTATAAAGGATCTTCCTGCCATCATAAACAGGAAGGCGGTTTCCCAAATCGGAGACTCTATGGATCCTTACAAGTTGTCTGATGACAGATCGGTTAACCGAACGAGAAGAAACTTCTGGTGTAATGGAAACCTGGCCGATACAAGTGAGAGCATATATTTGGTGAAAGCTAGCACAAAATTTCATATATAGCGAAGAAATAAAATGGTAAGACTATAAATTCAAATTTTGACCTGAAGAGTTACTCACATTATATTGATAAAAAACCTTGTCAGTAGAGAAGGTTGCAAGGAAATGGTTGGCCTTAAGCTCACATTCATAACCAATGCTACAATATTTGCCATTGCGCAGACAAAACATTGTTTTATTCCCCGACGCAGGAGCAACAGCCTTACTACTTTCTGCTTCATTCTGAAGAGAATCCTGTCGTTGACGCTGCTCCGTCGAGGTCGACGCTGGAGCAACAGCCTTACTACTTTCTGCTTTATTTTTAAGAGAATCCTGTTGTTGACGCTGCTCCGTCGGGATGGATCCTGAGGTCGACGCTGGAGCAACAGCCTTACTACTTTCTGCTTTATTTTTAAGAGAATCCTGTTGTTGACGCTGCTCCGTCGGGATGAATCCTGAGGTCGACGCTGGAGCAACACCCTTACTACTTTCTGCTTTATTTTTAAGAGAATCCTGTTGAACCTGCTTCTTCGGGTCCTCACGGCTTTTATCAACAGTACCAGTAACAACACGTTTAGTCTTTCTCTTTTTAGGCATGGCTTCAAGTCTGCAACTACAATTACAAACGCAAAAATAATATATTTTTACCATTGAATAATAAAACGGGGTATTTACATACATATATTTTATATTATGATATTTACGGATCTAATATCTAAATTTATAATATTTCATGACTATCATCTTTAGATCAAATATGAGTGCAAGAACTAAAATATTAAAATTTATAGGATGATATGATTGGTAGGAATGAAATATATGAGTGACAAATTTGATATTAAAGTTATCTATAGATAACAAATATAAAATATAAAAAGTTTAAATGTTAGATATGTAAATACCATGATATAAAACAGTATGTATATAAATCCCTCTAATAATAAATGTGAACATTATATCATGTAAGATGAATACACCCTGCATGACCGCATAAGAACAAAAGAATAGTATACAAGGAATTTTTGCAGCAGCAGCTTCATGATTTTTTTTTTTTGGACATTTAGGTCATTTAAGACAAATTCACGCACACAACGAATACACAAAGACTCAAACTAACAGGCCAAAGTGCGCTGTGTGCAGCTTCATGATTAGTTGCAAACAGAAAGGTTCAAAGTGAAAGTTATAATAACAACAAGTAGACCTGTCAATATTGGACCCGACCCGAAAACCCGACCCGAACCCGACCTGAAAATTTCAGGTTTGGGTTGACCCGAACCCGAAGCGGGTCGGGTTCGGGTCAGGAAAATCGACCAGTTTGCAAAACCGGGTCGGGTTCGGGTTGACCCGGCAACCCGAAAATGACCCAGAAATCGAACCTGCCCGCTCTGCCCGAATCTGCCCGCCTGGCGCCTGCCCCATGCCCCGGCCTAACAACAAGTAAAAGACTAGAAACTTCCATCCATAACAGAAACTAGAACCAATAAATGACAGCCTTGCATCATAAATTCTTCATTGAACTGTAAAATAAATAAGAACCTAGGAATCAAAGGCTAGATGGATGAGAAAAGCATTAAATGATTGGCGAACTGTCGGAGTTATTATAGTCAAATATTATCTTGTCAATGACGTTATCACATATCGTTAATAATTATAATAGTAATGTATTATATCTATTATTATAACATGTCTTTATTATTACTAATATTTCATTAAATATACTTTTCTTATTGTTTTCTTCTCATATCATTAAAAAGGCATATTAATTACAGCACAAAATTTAATCCAGCAAAGATTAATCAGAACTCAAGAAGAAGCATTGCAAAAACACGACAAACAAACAAGCAAAAAACAAAAAACATTTCAAAATATGATCTCATCAATAATATCACACATGGTAAATAATTATGGTAGGAATTTATGATATTTATTATTTTAATTTATACTGATTATTAAAAATATTTTATTTATTATATATAAGCACTGCAAATGTACAGCAAACAAACGATCATAAAAGAAAAACACTTCAAAATATCACATCTGATTAGCAGCTGTGGCAAGTATTAATGATATTTATAATTAGTACAAATCTTCATTATTAAAAAAAAATTCTTTCTTATACTTTCATTATTGCTTTCTTCTCATATCTTTAAACAGGCATATTTATATCAGCACTAAATATAATCAAACAGAGAGGTAGCCTTTATGATTTCTGGAAGCGTGCATTGCTCAAATCTAAAAAAGGATGCAGTGCAAATACATTGCAACCAAAAGATCGGAAAATGCTAACACTCTAAAAAAAGTTGCAGACGATGTAATCGCCGGCAAAATCACAGCATTTAGAGCATCAGACGAAAGAGCCCAACCATAGCAAAAGGCTGATTCATCGCAAGAGAAGGCAGATCGAGGAAGAAGCAAAGCAACTTACTACGCCGGAAAGTGTTCTGGGTATTAGCCAAGACCACCTCTTCCTCGCCGGAAAATCCCTTGGCCTTTTCTCAGTGGGACTATATATATAAAGAGTAGGGAGGGGAAACCGGGAGCTGTCACGATCAGTTTCGCTCCCCTCCAGGTTGGATATGCTAAAAACGATGGCCGCAGACACTATATAAAGGCGAATTTTTTTTTTTTTTTTTTAATTTGGGGAAACTTTGGGCTTTGCCCGTGTATTAAGCTCAACAAAATTGCATCAAAATAGGGTAAAAACAGCAAAATAGGCCAACAAAAACCGGCCAAAGCTTATAAAAGCTTCAAAAAAATTGTTCATACGGCGACTCACTTGTTTTTTTAATATTTAAAACAAAGACTCGGTTGTCTGTTGCCCGTTATTCGCTCAAAGCGTGGCAGAATCTTTTTACCATTCTGAATCAAATTTCAATTTTCCAAATTTTATAAATTTGGTTTTTTTTAATTCTATTTTTGATTACAATCTATTTATATTTTTGTAAAGAAAATAAAATAAGACTAAATTTTATTTGGAATAAATTTTTTATGTTTTTTAAAGTAACTTTATAGTTTTAAAAAAATTTACTAAAAAACTACTTTATAAGCAAGCAAAAATGTTTTTCCAAACAAAACATAAGGCAATTAAAATAAATTTACACACATGGCATACACAACCTTTGAATAAATCAATATGAGCTGAGTGGCCTCCTTTCTTCTCTCTCCCTTGAAAGGAGGAAAATAGAAGGCAGTAGTAGTATAATTTAGATGTTTTAAATAAAATGTTCTGCTTATGATGAAAATGTTTAGTTTAATACAAAATGATGATCGACTCTCTAGAGCAATCAATGGGCTCAATATGAAAGTTAATATTTTTAAAAAGAATATAAATTTCTATAATATGAAGCAATTATTTTTAAAACATTTAAAACACAACTTCACAATTACTTGATGAGTGCTAAAATCTTGACATGATGGACCAAATTTTCATGAGGACAATTCATGAAGTTAACCATTAATAAAGTTATTATAAAGTTAGTATCTTTCTATGTTCTATTTTTGAGTGTAAGATGTTTGTATATTTGATTAACTGGCTTTTTTTTAATGATACAACAATAATAACATCAAGCCGTTATCTAATCACTGTGATGGGTGATTATTTGACAAGTTTACGTTGGTTGTCGACTACCTACCACAATCCTCTACTTTTCTTATCCAAAGATTACCATCCAATAATGACAGTATTAGACTATTTTTAAATGATAAGAAGAAAACAAAATTTAATTTATAAAGATTAACAAGGGATCAACATTGCTAGCTAGTTATGTCATGCATATGTTTGCGTAGAGGTTTGAAATTTTTTTTTTGTTTATCATGTTGGATCTCTTGGTGGTTTAAATAAATATTAAAAAATATCCTACAAAGAAAAAAGATTAAAAAATTCGTTCATGAAAAGTTTTATTCTTAGATAATAAAATAAAAAAAATCTAAAAAAATGGGTACATTTATTTTAGAAAATTGGCCTTAAAGAAATAAAAATATTAACTTCGGAGTTCATTTATTACGGGATAATAAGGCAATTGAGTCTCTTTTATGAAGGAGATGAGAGAGTAGAGCGATCGAAGACGAGAAAGACAGGGCAAACAGGAAAGCAGAAAATAGAGGGAAAAGTATTATTCAAACATACAAAGCATTACAGGCCTATATATACTAGTTAAGGTGATTAGAGTGTACAGTAAACAATGTAAACCGTGATCTTAATCTAATCCTTTCTCTAATAATATCCTCCCTCAAATTAATCGTTCTTAGTTTAAATGGTTAATTTGCGACGAAGGAAATCAAATTGAGAGCAAGAGAAAGGCTTGGTGAGGATGTCAGCCGCCTGTTCTTCAGATGAAATGTGCTAAATGAGGATGTTGCCCGACGCTATATGTTGCCGAATGAACTGGTAGTCGATTTCAATGTGTTTGGTTCATGCGTGAAAGACCGGATTCTTGCCAATGGCTATCGCGGAGAGGTTGTCACAGTGAATGAGAGTGGGTGACTATTGATCGAGCTGAAGTTCAGACGCGAGTCGTCGAACACTACAGGAAAAATGCCTATTACCGGCTGTTCAAACCGGCGGTTTATGGACCGCCGGTAACACCGGCGGTTTAACCACCGGCTTTTAACGGCGGCCTAACCGATAGGTTTGGTACGTTAAGTCGTCGGTACTAGCGACGGTCCATAAACCGCCGGTAAATCGCAGCACATCAATATAAACCGGCGGTATGGACTGCCGTTAATAAGTTATTTTCTGCGGGCGGTCCGGATCGCCAGAAAACCGCTGGTAAATGCCCTAATACGAACAGACCCTCATCGCGCATTTAATATATATTTTTTCCTTCTCTCTCTCATTTTGGTCTCTCTGTCGTCGCCTCCGCTCGCGATCGACTTCCGTTTATTGCCGACGACGAAGTATCTCCAACTGCCGACCCCAATCCGACCGCCGACGCCGTATCTCTGAGCTCTGACCGCCATCGACTCACTCCAGATCTAATGCCGCCGACAACCCTAGATTTCGTGTTTTAAGGTAATTTTTTATCGTTTTTCTTTGATTATTTGTTCTCAGTAGACATTTGCAAGTGTTAGAGATATTTTGGATGATTTAGATAATAATGTAAGAGTTAATGTTGTAATCATTTGGGTAGATCAATTTTTTTTTTATTAAGTGTTATTTTAGTTTAGGGTAGATCTAATTTGTTGATTGTGACTTTGGGTTAGAGCAAGATAGGAAGAGCGAGATTGATAAAAACCATAAAGCATTGCATGTCTCACCATCTTATAGAATTTTCCCTTAAGTTTGAGGGGGACTTTTCTATCGCACAACAAGCCCGATGCATTCCTCCATTTCAACCATCCAACTTGAATTATGCTGATAATATCCTCATCTATTTCACCATCACTCTGAATAATAGATCCAAGATATCTAAAATGTGTACTCTTATTAATGACTTGGTTGCCCAGAATTACACTCCATATATTTAGTTTTAGATACACTTAAGTGAAAACCTTTAGACTCTAAGGTTGACCTCCATAATTCAAGTTTACCTTCAACTCCCCTCTCTAGTCTTATCAACTAGAAGAATAGCATCAACAAAAAGCATACACAAAGATAC